GGTCCATGGTGGAGCAGATCTCCCCCTGCAGCACAGGGAAGACTCCACACCAGAGCAGAGGGATGTGCCCGAAGAAGGCTGTGACCCTGTGGGAAGCCCACGCTGGAGCAGGCTCCTGGCACGACCTGTGGAGAGAGGAGCCCACACTGGAGCGGGTTTGCTGGCAGGACTTGTGACCCCGTGGGGGACCCACCCTGGAGCAGTCTGTGAGGAGCTGCAGCCCGTGGGAAGGACACACATTGGAGAAGCTCATGGAGGACTGTCTCCTGTGAGAGAGACACCACACTGGAGCAGGGAGGAGTGTGAGGAGTCCTGCCCCTGAGGAGGATGGAGCAGCAGAGGTAACGTGTGAAGAACTGACAAAACTCCCATCCCTGCGCCACTGCAGGGGAGAAGATAGAGAAATGACGCGTGAAGTTGAGTCTGGGAGGAAGGGAGAGGTGGGGGGAATGTGTTTTAAGATTTGTTTTTATTTCTCATTGTCTTACTCTGATTTGATTGGTAATAAATTGATGTCTCAATCAAGTCTGTTTTGCCTGAGACGCTAATTGGTGAGTGATCTCTCCCTGTCCTTATCTTGACCCATGAGCCTTCCATTATATTTTTTCTCTCCTGTCCAGCTGAGGAGGGGAGTGATAGAGTCACTTGGTGAGCACCTGGCATCCAACCAGGGTCAACCCATGACAACCATAAAAAAAGAAAACCAAAAAACTTCTTAAATATCATTTTCTCAAATAGAACGTGATTCTGCTAAACTGCACAATCACTAAATAATGTCACTGATTTACAAAACCTTTAACTGCATGCAGTTTTCCCTCACAACACCCTAGTAAGTGTTACACAACACACAATAACTATTACATGAAAATTTATAATCAGATTATAATTTTATTCTATCAAAAGATAAGGCTATGACATATTATTAGCAAGTTTTCACACCCTGATACTCTATAGCCTGAATTTCACTAGCTTTGTGTATTACTGCTTTAATTTGCAAAAATAAAAACAGAAACACTAGTGCATTTTGATGTTACAGTTTAGATTGCTGGTTTCCAAGTCATAGAACTCAAACCAAATAAAGTTAAGCAATAACAACAAATTCTTGCATGTGAATTGCCATTTTGTTTGTTTCACATACAAATTAGCTCAACAGGAACACGTAATTGGGGAAAATGTTGAGAAGAAAAGTAGATTTAGTGTTACTTTATTTGCTCCATCCACAGAGGTAGTTTTAAATTACTAAAATACGATAGAAAAAAATCCCAAGGGGGAGCTTTGCCTCTGCCATTTATGAATATATGCTGTTTATATCTATTGCTTGAAAAAACATGAAGAAAAAACATTATGCCTGGTATTTTGTGGCATTATATGCAAAGAAAAAGAAAGCAATAATGGATTAGCATGTAAGGTGAAGGTATGGATTCAGAAATTAGTATAGTTCCATTAAAAAAAAAAAAAAAGAATTATTTTGACTATGTTAGCTGATGATCTGTCCATTAACATGTTGCCTCAAGGAGCATCAGAATTAAACTACATACTAATACAACCAATTTTTGTTCAATGGGCAGCAAAACCACAGAAAACTACCTATATTTCAGATAATAAAACTGCAATTACAGGCAGAAGAGAAATACATACAGTGAAAATATGAAGTAGGATAAATTAACAAAATACTTTGTTATCCAAGATCAGACTCATGCTGAAAAATTGTTTCTGACTTTTGATACAAAAAGACATCTGTCATATTTTCAGAGATGGACCATTTTCTCCTAAAAAGAGGTTAAAAATAGTAAAAGCCTTCTGCTAAGAACAGGATTTGCCAAACTTGCAGTACAACTGCATATGCAGTATAAATACTCACTGAACTTTGCAACATAAAATAGAGTCAGTTCACAGCCAAGGGAAATTGCAACACGGCTGCCAGCCAACATCTCAGGTCCCTCAGTGACCTCACTACATAAGCCAGGCTTTCCTCTGCCAAAACTTAAATAAGGAAGGTGACACAAGGCAAAATGGGGATGTCCTAGGACTGTACTTTAGGCACTCAGCTTAATAAACTTACTAACAGTAAGACTTACAGAAAAAGCTTTTAAAAATTTTGCAGTGCTGATTGTGAGTAACGGGTTTGTTTCTGGAAGTGCTGAGCAGTTGAGAACTGCAGTGCAATTCACATGCTTGGCTGTCTGCTCAGCACCTCTGAAAAATCAGGTCACTTATTTAAGACTCTAAATGGACCTGGAAAACTACTTTCAGATTCCCATTTATTACCCTTTAGATTTCTGTTTATGAAGCATCTTCTGTACTTTCCTGGACAACTCCCTGAAAAATTAAGATCAGCCTTAATGCTAGGATGGCAGAATTTTCCAAGCAAATTTACTTCTTTTTTTTTTTTTTTTGGCTAAGACATTCTGAGACAAGATTGATTCATTTATTTGCATCTAAATCCATTATATGTATCATACATGGTGGGTTTTTTAAACAGTAACCATTAAAAACAAAATGAGAAAATAAAACAGGGTCATAGATCAAATTTGAATCTGGTTGAATCTCCAAAGCTAATTAGAGGAGTTTTCCATACGCAGAGGTACCAGAAACACATGTTGGTATACAGGCAACAAATTTCTAAGATATATAGACATATGTATCTTAGTCATACTTCCAGACTTGTAAGCTAATCGATTTTTTTTCTTTTTGAATACTCTTCTATTGAAGAGTGTCAGTAAATCAATATATTTGCAACAAGTTCTCATGAGTCCTAATTTTCCAAAAATGTTCAACAGAAGTTGTTCTAAATAATTGGTCCAAAACCATGCTGAAGTGTTTTATGGGAAGAAATAGTTTCAGCATTATTAAAATACAGTGCTTCAAATTGAGATGAAATTTTGGACAAAGTCTTTCATTTTTTGACAAACAAAAGTTGTTGAAAATTTTATTTCCAGAGAACTTAAAATATATGCAGTAACCATTTGGCCACTGGCAATGCTTGCTGCAGAAGTGACTGTACTTCACTGGGCCATGAAGTGACTGCTGATCTCAGCACTTCATGCTGTTCAAACACTCTGTAAGTGTATGCTGCTTATCTTGGGTTCAGATCGCATCCTGTAAATATAGTTTGGGGAACTGATAAATAACTTCACACATCCCTGTTTGGATCACCAGAGAGCACATCATCAAAGAAGCGAGCTTCTGTTTCATCGTACTCAGAAAGAGGAATGGAAAAGTTCATCCAACTGACTATTGCAAAGTAAAATTTCCAGAAGAATTTGTCCTAGGACAGCTTTACTGGACTATTAAGACTCTAGTCTTGCACATTCTTTGTCATACAAATAGTTCATAACCCACACAAACAATTTCACTGTCATCAATGAGACAAGTTATGAGAGCAAGAATTCTTTATCCAGGAACAGCTGTGCAGAACCAGGCCCTAACTTTTTAAGGTGTGTTCATCCTCTCTTCAGTCACTCTTCTCAATGCTACAGATTCTAAATACAGTTTTCTTGATCAGTGTGGAAATGTTTATTTTACCCAAACAATTCCACTGTGGGTTTATAGCATGTTACATGAGATTTAAAAATGAATGTATTTCTCTTCAGACATCGCAACTCAGCCAAGAGCCTGCAGAAGTGTTTATAAATGCAGCATATGTCACACCCATTCATCCCTGCAGAGCACAGTCCTCGTCTTTATATGGGCAAGACAGAAATAGGCAGCAAGCAACAAAACAAACCCCTATCCCAGCAATACTTTAACACAATTTCTGAGAGAAATCAAACCCAGTTGGCTTTATTTCAAACATTAGAGTGAAGAAAATATTTTTGGGACTCTCATCACTACACTGTAATTCTAGCAGTGATGCAATGACAGAAGTAACCGTGTCACTAGACCAGCAGGACTGTGCCAAAGTATGTAAACAAAAATTTTTTTATAAACATTGAAACTTCTAATGTTCTAGTGCTCAGCATTTTTAATCTATCATGAAAACCCGTAAAATATTGAATGCAAGGGAAATAAAATTCACAGGCATATAAAGCTTTACCATTTTCAGGGCATTGTCCCAACATTAAATTTCATAAATCCTTACAGAGTAGCATGGAAGTAACAGTCAGGGTCTTTGTGCAGAAATTGAACTATACAGGTAATAAGGCTGTGATCCAGCAACACTCACACATCCTCAAATTTTGGGCATTTAAGTAGATTGGACTAAGTTTGCTCAACACTAAGCACAATATGAAAGGCTGGCTGGCTCCCAAATTAGCCCAGGCACTCTAAATTGTACCAGTCACAGCCTCAGGTTTAGACCTTGAAAGCACATGCTTCCTTTTGCTGTTTTGGGTTCATTCATCAGTTTGTGTGGTAAAAAATGGTTGGTGGCATCACCTACAAAATGTCCTTAATATTAGCACTTGTTTCTTTATGCATCTTAAAAAATAATACGATTACAATTCCATATAAATCACTCTCAATTCTTGGCCCTCCTCCCTACCTAGGTGATAAAGGATTTTGATACAGATTGGCTCTGTAGTCAGCCAACTCTCTGAGGAGCTTGACTGGGCAAGTTTTGCTCTCAGTGCCCAGGTGCGCAGGGCAAGGCAGGAATGGCCAGGGAAGCAGGCACTGTCCCCAGGAACAGCCAGGAAAGCAAACGCTATTCCCACCTGCTGTCAGGCCCAGCATTTTAGAAAGCTGCAGAAAGTTTAAATGATAGGGGGGTCAACACTCTTAGAAACACAGAGAGACTACTTTGGGGTGCTCTACATGTAAAAACCCCAAACATACATTATCTGGTAGTGTCTTCAACTAAAATACAAACTAGAGACTCCTGCCAAATTGCCACTAAAAACTCGCAGTAAAGAAACCACAGCCAGCCAAGCTCTTGTTCTGCATCACCCACAACACTGTTACCAACCGGACATGTTCTTTGTGCTTATCCCATTCCCCAGAAACCTCCTTGCAGGGGGAACACAGGAGACATGCAGAAGATAATAGCCAGCAAAACCTACCTGTACAGCATTCCTCCTTGGGATTGTAGTTGCCCCTGCCGGAGCCGGGGCAGAGCCTGCGGGCGGTCTGTTCTCGCAGGCGAGCAGCTTGGTGCTGAGCCCAGGGGTCACCGGGCCGGTCTCTTCTTTTGCGGGGGTCAGGCTTAGTCTTCGCACCATGCCCGCATCGGACTGAAACGTCAAAGCCTGTACAGGAGTGCCCTGTACCTGCAGATAAAACATCCCCTCTGCAAGCAGCAACCGGTTGGTTTCTCATTATGAGGTCCTCAGAAGTACCTTCATATATATATAGATATATATAGAGATAGATATATATATGTGCGTAACCATATATATACTTGATACACGCAAACCGTTGGATTTATTCCTACTGCTGTTCCCTCGGTCACCCACCGCCCCCCGAAGCCGGCCAGGCGACGAGCAGCCCTGGCAGCCGCCCCCGGACGGTGACGGCCGCGCCGCCCGGCAGAGCTCCCCGCAGCCCCGGGACAAGCC